ACTGGTTGACTGGCTTACTTAATCCAGTCTCTTTTTTAAGGGTCGGTTAAGTTTTTCAGTCTTTTTTTCCCCTGAAGAAATGTATGTAAGTATATATGAGTGTGTGTGTATATATATGTTTTATTCTTGAGCCTAGGGCTCAGTCCATTTAGGTTTATATCAAAAACAGTAGGAAGTAAGGTGATTCTCTTGTTAGAATGTTTCCTAAAGGATGCTTGAGGGGCCTTGACTTAAACTGAGTGACTATGTGGACTTGCCAATTTAGGTTTTCATATTCCTAATCACTGAACATTCGATTTTGGTCTTCTTCCCCATCCTGGTTTTCAAGGTTTTAATTTTTTTTTCTTTTCTTTTTTATTCTAGGATGATTACTTACTTCCTGCATTCTAATTTGGATTCTTGAACCCATCATTTCACTCCCATTTCTTTTCATGTTTTATAGCTCCAGTGCCATGACAGTTTTAATCTTCTGGCTCCATCTGCGTAGATTTCAGTCTCTAATTGAGGAAAATCATCTGTTTTTCTCAGGAGCCCCTTGATTCAAGTTTACACAAAATTTGCCTTTGGAGACTATCCTGTTAATTAAAACAGTTCAGATCCCACTTGTATGTGAGACAGATGCTTCTCTGGCCACCAGACAGGTACCACTAAAGGAGGTACAGGTAACAGATCATTTAATTTAATTACATTTTCACATGTCAGAGAAAGGATGTATGAGATAATATTGCACAGCCCCTGCCTGCCTGCCTTCAAAGAGTCCATGGTTTAAAGGAATTACACGTAACAAAAGTAATGTGGCCATGATAAGAATGCACAGAGAAGGGGCATTTTGTTCAGCTTCAGTGTGTGGGGCTAAGATAATGTCAGTAAAGGCTTTCTGGAGATAATGCCTGAGAGGAGGCTTAAAAAGTAAATCAACATTTTCCCAGGGAAGATGGGAAGCAAAGATACACCGGAGTGGTAGAGCTGGGGACACTACTGTGACTTAAGATGCAGAAGCATGAAGCAGCCTGGCTGGCTAGGATACTACAAGTAGTACTAAGAGGTAAAGAAGATGGCAGAAAGTGGCCATATGGGCTGAGCAGTTGTTGAGAAATATGAAACAGAGGGTCTTCTTTCTGATCATGGGCACAGATGCTTTTCTATGACATGAGGCAGACCTGAGTGAAGACAGGGTTAAGTGGAGGCAGGCATAGCTTACTTCTTGCCCTTGAACTAAGGGCCAGTGTGTTAGTCTGTTCTCACACAGCTGTAAAGATACTACCTGAGACTGGGTAATTTATAAACAAAAGAAGTTTAATTGACTCACAGTTCTGCATGGCTGGGGAGGCATCAGGAAACTTACGATCATGATGGAAGGCAAAGGGGAGGCATGGCATGTCTTAGATGGCAGCAGGAGATAGAGGGAGCACAGGGGAAACTGCCACTTTTAAAACAATCAGATCTTGTGAGAACTCCCTTACTATCATGAGAACAGCATGAGAGATCCGCCCCCATGATCTATTTACCTTTTACGAGGTCCCTCCCTTGACACAAGAGGAATACAATTTGTGATGATATTTGGGTGGAGACACAGCCAAACCATGCCATTCTAACTCTGGTCCCTCCCAGATCTCATGTCCTCACATTTCAAAACCAATCATGCCTTCCCAAGAGTCCCTCAAACTCTTAACTCATTCCAGCGTTATCCCAAAAGTCCAAGTCCAAAGTCTCATTTGAGATAAGGCAAGTGCCTTCTGCCTATGAGCCTGTAAAATAAAAAAACAAAAAACAAAAAAACAAAAAAAAACAAGTTAATTACTTTCAAGACAGAATGAGGGTACAGACATTAGGTAAATGTTCCCATTTCAAATGGGAGAAATTGGCAAAAAAAAAAGGGGGCCATAGGCCTTATGCATGTCCTAAACCTGGCCAGGCAGTCATCAAATCTTAAAGCTCCAAAATCTCCTTTGACTCCATGTCTCACATCAAGGACACACTGATGCAGGAGGTGGATTCCCACAGCCTTGGGCAGCTGTGTGCCTGTGACTCTGCAGGGTACAGCCTCTATGGCTGTTTTCACAGGCTTGTGTTAAGTGCCTATGGCTTTTCCAGGTGCATCATGCTAGCTATCGGTAGATCTACCTTTCTGCAGGGCCCTCTTCTCACATCTCCACTAGGCAGTGCCTCAGTGAGGACTCTTTGTGGGGACTCCAACCCCACATTTCCCTTTTGCATTGCCCTAGTAGAGGCTCTCTAGGAGGACTCTGACCCCAAAGCAGACTTCTGCCTGGACATCTATACATTTCCATATACCCTCTGAAATCTAGGCAGAGGCTCCCAAAGCTCAACTCTTGTTTTCTGCATACCTGAAGGCCCAACACCACATAGAAGCCACCAAGGCCTGGGGCTTGCACCCACTGAAGCCATGGGCTAAGCTGTACCTTGGCTCCTTTTAGCCAGGGCTGAAACTGGAGTGGCTGGAACACCAAGCTCCATGTCCAAAGGGTGCACAGAGCATCAGGGCCCTGGCTTGGCCCATTAAACCATTTTTCCCTCCTAGACCTCTGGGCCAGTGATAGGAGGGGCTGCCTTGAAGATCTCTGAAATGCCCTGAAGACACTATCCCCATTGTCTTGTTGATTAACATTCAGCTCCTCTTTACTTATGGAAATGTATTCAGCCACCTTGAGTTGCTGTGCAGACAGTGAGTTTTTGTTTTCTATCACATGTTCAGGCTGTGAATTTTCCAAACTTTTATGCTCTTCCTCCCCTTTAAACATAAGTTCCAAATTCAAAACATCTCTTTGTGAGCACATATAGTTGTATGCTTTCAAGAAAAGCTAGGTCACCTCTTGAATGCTTTGCTGCTTAGAAATTTCTTCTGCCAGACTCTCTCAAGTTCAAAGTCCCACAGATCTCTAGGGCAGGGGCAAATTGTCATCATTCTCTTTGCTAAAGCCTAGCAAGAGTGACCTTTGCTCCAGTTCCCAGTAGATTCCTCATCTCCATCTGAGGCCACCTCAGCCTGGACTTCATTGTCCATATCACTATCGACATTTTGGTTGAAACCATGCAATTCTCTAGGAAGTTCCCTACTTTCGCCCATCTTCCTGTCTTATTCTGAGCCCTCCAAACTGTTCAAACCTCTGCCTGTTGTCCAGTTCCAATGTTGCTTCCACATTTTCAGGTTATCCTTATAGCAGTGCCTCTCTCTGCCAGTACCAATTCTCTATATTAGTCCATTTTCACATGCTATAATGATGCTAACTGGGTAATTTATAAACCAAAGAACTGACCCCCAGTTCCATATGGTTGGGGAGGCATCAGGAAGCTTACAATCATGGTGGAGGGCAAAGGGGAATCAAGGCACATCTTACAAGGGAGCAGGAGAGAGAGGGAGTACAGGGGAAATGGCCATTTTTAAAACAATCAGATCTCATGAGAACTCCCTCAGTTTCACAAGAACATCGTGGGGGAACTACTTCTGTAATCTAATAACCTCTCACCAGGCTCCTCCCTTGACGTGGGGGTATTACAATTTGTGATGAGATTTGGGTGGGGACATAGAGCCAAACCATATTAGCCAGCCTCTTGGTGGGAACTTATTTCTTTTTGCAGGTGCCTCTCTATTCCTGGCTTACTCAGAATACCCTCCTTCCTCAAGCAAGTGTGACTTAGGTCATCTGCATCATGATTTCTCATGTCGCTAAGATGAGAAACCTCCAGAGATTACCCACAGCAAGGCTGCAACCTGTTGATGTGACTTTACCTTTCTCTGCCACGGGTAGTTTGTCTCCTTTATTCATTTACTCTGAGGACACAAATCTTTCTTGTCATCTTTGGGGTGGAGGGATAGGGTAATTCTACTTTTTACCATCAGCCACTTTCTGCCTAATCAATACTTCAATCTCCACCCCAGAAAGAGTCATTGATTTTTTTTCCAGATTATCCTCTGACTTGTTTGAGGGTCCCCTATCATGTTATATATCACCTCCCATCTAGGGCACCCTCTACAATTCATGAAACATTCTAGACTTCTACATTTTAGTAGGATCTGGGGAATCAAATTTAAACCTTGGATGTTTCAAGCCTACCAGGGTCAAAAATTAACTTTACAATTAGAACCGTGCTTTGACACTTGAATGAGTTCTCACTGCAGGAATGCCTTTGAAAAGCGATCTGGCTTCTTATGATTGATATATGCGGTGGAGCTTCTTAGCAAACTACTTCCTTTAGAAGTTAATGGAAGAACATCCATGTTTGGGAAATCACTGTTTGCTGGTAATTGAGACAATCAGATGTTTCAAAGTAGGTGAACTGTGAACAAATGAACTCCTGAATGACAGCAGGTGACAGCGTGTGGCCTCAATATTTACGCTGTGTAACCATGATCACCAAAGCACTCTCATCTATTTTAAAACAGAAGAAACTATCATCAGTGGATAAAACTGGATTTAAAAGCAAGCCACCAAAAGCTCATAATTTTTTGAACTGAGCATTTTTCAAGGATGATAACATAAATACAGTCAAGCTACTTCTATAAATTTTTTAACTTTGATACCTTTTTGGAAAACAGATACCACAGAACCGTTTTAGTAATATGGATTATTTTTATAGGGGAAAACACCAACAAAACCCCTTAACCCTAGACTCTCCACTTGTGGCTTAATATTTATCAATTCTTTTTTATTATTTATTTTATATTTTCCCAATTATTTAGATTTTAGAGCTAGAAAGATTTATTCAGTAATGACATTTTAGTGGCATTTTAATTAATGGGTTCACAGTTCAGGTCAGTGTATTAGGTAATGGTTGTAGGTTGGAAGCAGGCAAAGGCAAACATCAGCCCTAACTCATGTGATATCTGGGTTAAGAGAATCTTTGTGTATAAATAGCCCTTCTGTGAAGTAGGTATAACAGCATGAGTCATGCTTTTTTTCTTTCTGGGACTCTGAATGATTTTGTATAAATGTTAATGAGTCCCCAACAATTCAAGTTTTCTTTAAACTCCTTCATAAGTATTCCTAACTTCAGACTCTCCTTTTTTCAACTATTTTGCATATTAATAGCAATTATCCCACGCAGGGAGAGGAAACAGCGTGCCAAACCCTGCGTTAGAATCATTAGCTCATTGTAATATTAATCCTGCATACAACCACAGTTACTACATCAACTTCATTAAAAAAAAAAAAAAAAAGTCTCAGCGATGCTAAATAACTTGCTCAAGTTTGGACAGCTATTTTGAGGCTAAGTTAGAATTCTTTTCTTTTTTCTTTTTTTTAAAGGCACTGTCTCACTCCATTGCTCAGGCTGAAGGGCAGTGGCACAATCACGGCTCACTGCAGCCTCGAACTCCCAGGCTCAGGTGATTCTCCCACCTCAGCCTCCTGAGTAGCTTGGACTACAGGTGTGCACAACCATGTCCAGCTAATTTTTGTATTCTTTGTAGGGATGGGGTTTTGCCGTGTTGCCTAGGCTGGTCAACTTCTGGGCTCAAGTGATCAGCCTACCTCGGCCTGCCAAGTTGCTGGAATTACAGACGTGAACAACTGCACCTCATCCCTGAGTTGGTATTCAAAAATAAATTCTGATGAACACGCTGCTGTTCTACAGTATTTTTCCTTCTGTTATGGTGAATTTGCCTGATTTTTCTTATTTAATTTAGGGTGGTTCCCAATGATTGCCTTTAAAATCTACTTGTTTAACAGCCAGCCTTAGAATTTTGCCAGTGAGGAATGTTAAGCTCCCTGAAGGTAACTGGATATTCTTTCCATGTTTTCTGTCCTGGGCTTCTTATACTTTAATAGATGTCCTGCACATTCTTGTAAAAGACGATTTTTTTTTTATTTATTATTTATTTTTTTTTTTAGAGAAAAGAATAGCTGCAGTATAGGGTTGTGTCCTGCCTGTTCTCTGTAACCTACCAGTATTACCTGATTTTGAGTTGCTGCCAACATCTGTGACTGTAGCATTCCCAGTTCTCTACCCATGCACATTACAGGGATTTCTCCATCATTGTCCTGCTGACATTTGACTTTGCAAATCTGTTCAAGTTCACATTTAGGTTGAGCATCAAGAGTAAATACGTGTAGGGGCCAAAGGAAAACCTTCCCTTTGTCGTCTAAAGGTTTGCTGAAAAATCAACTGATAAAGAGTAGATTAATAGGAGAAATGACGTACAAATGTATTAGTATGCATGAGAGGAAATTGCAGAGCGATTGCTCCATCTCCCAATAGGGCACAGATACTTATATAATTTACTTCTAAGGGGAAAGGGAGACAGGGAAGTGTGGATAATTTTACAGGGTGGTAAATAATTTTTAGGATAATTCAATGGGCTTGAAGAAGATACATTGGCCTGCGACAAAATCTGTTGAGCCTGCAGAGCAGACAATGGCTTTTGACAAAAGTCTGTTGACAGACTTTAGCCTTTCTTCCTGCAATATGAGTTCAGTTACTGAAAACTCAGGGAAGGGACCAGAGATGATTGTTTTCTTCCTTGGCAGGTCCAGATGTTAGGCAGATAAGGGAACTTCAGATAACAATTTCATCTTGTCCTTTGGGAGAGGCAGGATTAAGAGATAGTGGGAGCTGGGGTCAGGGGTCAGGGAGTGGAGAACAGAGAGACCTTGAGGCTTCTTTTTCAGTTGAGCATGTCAACATGCCATTTTTGGAGGGTATTAGTTTCTGAACCCCAACACATGGAAGTGGCACAGTTGATAACTTGTGTCAGATTAATGTATTTAAAGACAATCCTAAACAGGGATTCCATTCTCTCCTTGGAGGAACCTTTCTTGAAATAAGGCAAATTTATCTATCTACTAAGCATTTTTATGTTAGCAAGAGACTGAATGTAATATTCAGGGGAATATACTTAGTTTTATTATTTTTTCTTCCTGTATGAAACACAGGTTGGAAAGGACATTTGTCATAAGAGGACTTTTTCCCCAGGTCGTTGTCTGTGCATTAATCTTCAGAATGTGATGGACCATGTGAAACATTATAATTTGTCTGTGGGATAAAATCCAATGGGAATCCAGAAAGCCATTCATGCAGAAACACTCTTGGAGGCCTTGGTAGGCCAACTTTGAATACAGACTTCGTCCTTTCATCTTTGGCAACAGCCAACTGCTCTTTCATGAAGCGCCGCCTTGTTATGTTCAAAGAGTTTATTATTAAAATAGAGCTAAGCACCGTTCTGTATTCACCATCTGCTGGAAGGTGGATTGCTGCTGGTATGTTTACAAACTACCTTACATACTCTTTATCACTGGCTTATACCTAGAAAAAAGAAATATATATATATAATCTCTTTTATTGTTTTTATGTAAACATACTGGGTGGCAATATGGTATTCAGCTTGGTCAACATTTGGTGTAATGAATCAATAGAAAAAATATTTACATTTTTCCTAGTGGCTAATGTATAGGCATTTTTACAACTTCTGACTAAGTCAAACCAATTGATTGTACTTGTATACACAACAGTATTTATTGGTGTATGGGTTCAAGGGACCTTTTCCTATCTAACCATATGACGCCCAGATATCAGTTTGAATGAAAAGCCTAGCCAATATTAGGGCTCAGAAAACAATACTGGAAAGTATGGTGTTTTGGCATGCTGAGCACATTGAATGAAAATAAACGGGGATGTTAGGGGCTGCCTCAGAACTAAAAACTTTCTATCCTTCTCTTG